TTCATCAAACTCCACTAAAGCTTCCACAAGCACCCAATCGAGGCCTCACCTCTTGGGCAAAGGTATAGCTCACTAACCCTAATTATGGCTCGGTTTGGACCTTTATGAAGAAAACTTGCAATTCATAGTTATGTAAGCGTATAGATGTACTCGTCTTAAAGTCGGACGGTCAACAAGTTTTGGCTATCAGAGACGATGATGAAGATTTGTCTGATCGAGCGTGTATCGGATAGACTGACGAGATCGAGCTGGACAGAGCCTTCGTGCGTGAACAGTGGGACGCGTGGCCATCGAGTCGAATGGCGGTGCCAAACCAAAAAATGACGCGTGGCACTTCGGAGAAGATGAGGATGACGCGGCGCGTGATTGGGATAAATAGAAAATTAAAGCTTTTTCTTAATTAAATAAATAACAGTTCTTTAAAGATTCATAACTTTTCATAGAAAAATCATAAAATTAAAAGAAAAATAACTTCTTGCTCAGTGAATAGAGGAGAAAAATGTGGATTAAAAATAAAAATTATTCTCTAAACATATGATTTTATATTAATTAAATACCCTCTAAGGTATTTTAACTCTCCATGACTAAGGAGCGTTCACCATGGCTTAAGACTTTTAGGGTTTATTCCTCATCATAGAGGGGATGTTCTCTGATTTTTCCAAGGTCAGAGGGCATCTCTATGCTCCTAACCCTAATTTTTAAGCCAATGTGACCGTTTTGGCTTATTTTAATTATATAAATTAAAATATCACTTAGAAAATTATAAGAACAATTTTAGTAGGTATCTTGTGGTTAGAAAAGTTTAAGAAAAATGTTGTGATGCTTTGAATCATTTTGTAAATTTCTATACTTAGTTAAATGTGAATACTTTATCTAAATTTATGTAAATTAGATACATATAAAAAATTAACAAAATCAACTCCACATTGTTCATAAAAATTATATCTACCCACTCTAAAAATTTCAAAATTATTTGGCTTAGTGTAAGCACTAAAGTGGGTTTTCTAAGAAACCTTGTATTTTGTAAAAAAAAAATTATAAGTTAAAGACATTTGGAAAAATTGTAAAAAGTGGTTTTCTGAGTTCCTTATGAACAGAGGTACTTAGAAAAAATAAAAATCACTTTTAATAAAAAACTTAATTTTTGGGCCTCATTTTGAATTTTAAATAATTAAAAAAAACTAAAAATTCCAAAAATAAAAAAATATTTCAAAATGTTCCTAACTATTCTCTGATTACTTGGGACTCATTAAAATATTTTTTTTTCTAATTTTCCTAAGTTCAAAGTAAATTTTAAAAAGCTTAAAAATGAATTTTCTTTATTTTCTCTCTAAAATAATTATAATAAATGAATTAAAAATAAAAAAAATACAAAAGTTCATTCTCTGTGTTTTCTTAACTCATAGAAGTCTAAGAAAAATATAAAAATAATTTTTTGAATTAAAACAATATTTTTTACTTAAATAATCGTGAAAATTAAGCCAAATTAAAATAATAATAATAAAAATTTATTTCATAAAAAATCATCAAATTTTACCCAAGTATTTCTCTGACCTAAAGAAACCCTTAATAAATTTCTCATAAATAAAAGCTTTATTTTGAGAAGTTAAATAAGTCACCTTTTGAAAATCTTATTTTCTTAATTCAAATAAATAACCAAATTAAATTAAAATTTTAAGAAATCCACATTTTCTCCTCTAATACTTTAATTACCTTCAAGTCCTCAAAGTCATTTGAGTTGTGTTTAGTGAGTTATGAGGTGAGGTGCCCCAAGGGCAAAACAATCACTTTAGACTTTGGTGCTTTAATCAAAATTTAGGGTTAACCAAAGGAAAAATTGGTGATTCTAATTTTAATAAACATGATTTGATGATTGAAATATAATGGAACTAAAAGGTAGAAACTCGCTCACCACTCTTGCACAACATCAACAAAATCATAATTTTCATAATCTTCATGATTTGGAAGTCAATTAAGATCAAATGATTCTTAAGTAAGGGGCTTAAACTAGGCAGGATGATAATTTACTTTTCTTAAGCCCAAAGTTGAGGATGATTTAATTACTTGAAATTACTTGATAAGAATACAATACAATCACTTAAATTAAAATTTTTGTTACATCCCATTTCACCTGTCATGATTACCAAGGCTTGGTAGTGACCTAGGTTTGATTCCTAAATTCAAGTTGATTGGATTTAGAAAAAGATATGATTGGTGATTAAAACCCTTAAACACTACAAGACTAACCTTAATTGCGGGCACCACAATCTTAAAGACTTATCTCAGGGGCACTCACTCACATAACTCTTAAACAAAACATCAACTGACCAATCATCAATTAAACAAAACATCAACTGACCAATCGAGTATCCTATCCTTAGGATAATTAAATTAAAAGTTTCACTGAGCAAAGGGGTAATCACACTTTAACCTTGGATGATTATTGGGACACACCTTGAATATTTTGAAATCTATTGGACATTCTGAAGAACAAATTGGACTTGCCATATTTTGTCCTAGAATCATTGACTAGGATCTTCCGAGATTCAACAAAATCATAGCTTGGGGTTTGATAGCTAAACCTTCATCTACTCTGACAACCTAAATTTTCTTGCAATATTTTATACATGCTTTGCAAGTACTGACCTTTCAGGTGGTGGAACGAGAAGACTCGTCATGTATGCTTTTACAGTTTATAGTACCGTCTTTTCTTGTACTTTCCACACTGTATTTTTATGCTTACAAAAATTACATGTTAAACAACGATGTCGCCCTGCATGAAAACCAAAACTGCTAGGATAGCTACAAAACCAAAACCAAAACTAAAACTAAATCAATCAAGATAAAATTCACTGCCACAACCTTTAAAATATAAGAAAACTCAAAATTTAATCACAAACATCACAAAACAACAACTGCAACTAAATTAAGACGTCTCTATCGAATGATCGGGAATCCCTCAAAGGAGGTAACCTACGGTTGCTAATGAGGCTTCCCACGGTCTAAATGAAATTATGGAACTCATTAAGTTGAGTTTAGTAAATTCATTTGGACTAAGTGAATCTAATAGAAAATAGTGGTACCAGAATAAAGGAACCGTAGGATCCTAACCGATGTCACTTTAATCAACTTTAACATGCCCTCATAAAATTTAAACCCATAAAATTTGAAGAACTACAACCATAGGGCCAACTGATTTGACACCATAACCTGACACACTAGAAAACTTAAACTCATCATGACGAGGAGCTTGCAACTAGCATGGTGGGCATCACGACCATCTTCAACAGTAAAACATGACTTCCCTAGCTAAAATAATTTTCTTCTTTAGAATTAAACTACCAAGCCACAGGACATCGAGGTTTTTTGCTTATGCAACATAAATCCTCAACTCATCTTTAGGCCTTTGCACAACTCTGTTGTACAATATAAGCCCTAACACGTCTTAGGATTTCGAGATTGTCGTTTGTCACGACCTAAATCCTCACATCTTCCAGGCTATTTGTGTGATCATTTCACACAAATGTAAGCCCTAAACTAATAAAATTGGCAGGATGAAACACTCAAATAATTTCTCCTCAAAACTGAAGCCAAATCATAGGATAACTTGGGAAGTCACTGAGGTTCTCCTCCGGATCTATCAAAACCCCCTAGTTCTTCCTCCTTCGGATTCAACAATAAATGTTCCAAATTTGAGTCATTCCGCTTTCACACCTCTTTGTCCAATTTCGTTGAAATGTCCTATCCTTTTGACCTCTTTGAAGATAGCATTTTCTGATTTTTATCGAGAGTTTTCTTAGGTGACTTCAGTCATTTAAGATGTAATTAACTATAGGGACTTGTCCTTATAGGAAGTTTGTGCAAACCCAGCTTAATATAAATCATATTTAATTCTTCATATTAAATAGGGGAACTTGTCGACAAAAAAAAAAAATTCACAGACCAAACGGATGTCATATATTTCTTTGTTTATTTGATCGAGCATCATCCTTAAGTCTTTATATTTATCCTTTGGGTTAAATACAAGATTGAAGGTATAGCGCTCTTTCATTTAAACTATGAAAAATATGGGGTCAGTTTGATTTCAAATTTTTTTAAACTTATATATATATATATTTTGTTTAGTTGATCGAGCATCATCCTTAAGTCTTTATATTTATCCTTTGGGTTAAATACAAGATTGAAGGTATAGCGCTCTTTCATTTAAACTATGAAAAATATGGGGTCAGTTTGATTTCAAATTTTTTTAAACTTATATATAAATTAAAATTAAACGCCTTTCCAATGCGGGGGATGAGATTTCAATTCCGGTGGCTGACAGCTTCCGACGGGCAACTCCTCAACCAAAAATAGTGCCCCCAGCCATAAATGGTTTAGCTGCCTTATGCCAAGATACCTAATGCATTCGCTGTCTTTAACTAGACCACGAGAACCTGTTAAAGCCCTCTCCATCTGAAGTTGAGTACTTTTCTTTAGGTTGGTCATCTAGAGGATGTAAGATGAGAAGTTAGTGAGGATACTTTTGAGCAATGTGATTCTACCACCATTAGAGAGGAAGGACTGAGTCTAACCAAAGAGATAGGAAGTAATCTTATTAAGGACTTCATCAAATTGGATTTGTTTAGATCTGCCATTGAGGAGGAGAACTTTAAGTTATTTGATAGGGAGTTGAGTACAGGAGAAACCAGTATAATTTGAAGCCCACTGTTTACAATTGTGGGAAGAATTTTTTATTAAAAATCATATGGCACTTATCAGAACTGAAAGTCATCCCTGAGTGTAATTGAAACAAATGGAGGCTCTGAAAAACTTCTTAATAACATTCTTATGAGTACTGGAGAAGACCATGATATCATCAGCATACAGGAGGTGAGATATGGTTGTATTAGATCTGTGGTGGTACCTAGAGCAACATTGGGTTAGATGGGATTCATCCAAAATTCTGGACAGGTAGTCTATTGCAAGGATGAAAATGGTAGGGGACAATGGATTCCCTTGCTTCAAGCCTCTTGTAGCAGTGAAGGACCCCCAAGCAAGCTTGCCCATTGATAAGGAGGAGTGTTCATTATTAAGAAGCCATCTGTGAATAAGGTTACAGAACCAGGTTGGAAACCTCTAGCTAAAAGAATGTTCAGGATAAAGTCCCAATTAATGGTATCATAAGCCCTCTTGATGTCCAGCTTGTAAATAAGATTACTTCCTCTATAAGGCTTGTCCAATTCTAGGAGAAATTCTTGGGCGAGCAAAGTATTATCAATAATGGACCTACCTTTAATAAAGACAGTCTGATAGTGTTTGATCGGTGTGTCAAGGTGGGGTTAGAGTCTAGTTACAATAATTTTGCTGATAATTTTGCTTAGAACGGTGGTAAGGCAGATGGGCTTGTAATGATCCCAGGTTTTTTGAATTTCTGATTTAGGTACTAGGACAAAGTTGGATGCATAGAAATGATAAGGGAGGTTGTGACCTTGGAAGAAACAGTATACTACAACAATAACATCAGTTTTGATGATTTTCCAGGATTTTTTATAGAAATCTGTAGTGAATCCATCAGGCTCTGCAGTCTTAGAATTGTCAATAGTCTTTAATGCCACCCAGTTTTCCTTTTCATCAGGGAGATCAGTGAGTCTATGATTTTTGGTGTAGATCAGCTTTTCAGAGAAGTGGTGCCTGTCAATTGGGGGCCTGGTAGTTGGGACTTGATTCAGTAAATTTTGATAATAAGTAGTGGTATCCCTGACAATTGCAGTTTTGTCATGAAGCCATATCCCCTCAGCATTTTGAATAGAGCGTATTATATTACACTTCCTTTTGTATTTAATATATGCATGATAGAATTTGGTGTTTCTATCCCCTTCAGTAAAGATATTAAAGGAAGCATTTTGTTTCAAGAACTGATGCTGGTATTCAATAGCAGTAAGTAGGTTATTCTGTGCAGTTAGATGTGCTTTTTCCTCCACAGTCCCATTTTGAGCTCCCAATTCAAGCCTTTTTACTTTTTTCTCAGTTGAGGCCACATTTTTTAGAACATCACCAAAAGCTTCCCAACTCCATTTCCTAAGAGCCTGCCCAGTTTTTACTTGCAGCAGACTAAGTTTGACCAGGGGCTCAAGATGGGAGACACCTTTCCAATGGTTAGAAACAATTCTAAGGAATGAGAGATGTGTGGACCACATGTTAAGATGTCTAAAAGGGGGAGGGGAAGGGGGCTGTTTAGAGGAAAAAGGGGAAGTGATGGTGATATGGAGAGGCCTATGATCAGAGCCAGCAATGTTAAGATGGGTTACAAATGTGAGTAGGAAGTGGGAGAACCAAAGGTCATTAACTAGAATCTTATCAAGTATTTCCCAAAGGTGTCCCCTTTTGCAGGTGAAAGCACGTCCCTTGAATCCCAGGTCAAACATTCCAACAAGATTGATACTATCACTGAAAGTGGTCATTTTGGATAAGTTAGGAACCCTGCCCCCAGACTTTCCTGTAGATGAGGTAATATAATTGAAGTCCCCCCTAGCATCCAGGGTGAGGTCATCTGTTCACTGATATTATGAAGGCAGGTCCAAAGCTCTCTTCTGTCTTCCTTAGTACAACCTGCATAGATGAGGAAAGCAAAACTCAAGTGGCCATTTATTAGGAAGAAGAGATGAACAAATTATTGATGATCCATCAAGATGTTCCACCTGATTTCTTTTCTATAGAAGATCCAAATTTTATTATTGATATTAGCAAAGTGAGAGAAACCAGAAAACTTCTTGATGAGCTTTTAGGGGTGTTTATGAACCATATGTTCAAAAATGGCTATGCACCAAAGCTTGTATTTATAATTGAGATGTAAGAGTCTTTTAAGAGAAAGGGGGTGAGCCACTCCCCTGATATTCCAGCATAAGAGATTAATCATTAATTGGGGGGAGGTGGAGGGATGGCTGTGATCTGGATCTAGTTCTTCCTCTAGAGGTTTTAGAGGTGGAACCAGTCTTAACACTAGCTATGCCTTCTATCCTCATTGAAGCTGACCCTTTTTGGAGTTTCTGTAGTTCTCTAACTTGTTTTTTCTTTTTCCTTGTTGTTTGGATTTGCCAGTCCTCTTCCAATGTCTGGTGCGAAGCAGCAATGTTGTTTTCCTCAGGTACATTTATAGAGATAGTTGTATGGGTGGGGCACCCCACATCCTCACAATCAAGGCTGGGGGATGTAGTAGTAACAATGATAGTAACAATGATCACCTCATTAAATCACCTCATTAACTTCTTTCCTCAAAAGAATTTCTAGTGATTCAACTGTTGGAATAGTGGAAGGAGAGTTAGACAGACCTCCTAAAGGGTCCCCAAGGGAAGTGATAACAGTATTCAGTGGGGAGGTTCCTTCAGCAATAAGGTTAGGCAACTAATTATCAGTTACAGGAACAAACTCCTTAGGATTGTTATTGGAATTCCTTCTGGGTGGGGGAAAGAGCCTATAGAATCTCTCCATAGTGTTTCCAAACATTTTACAATGTTGACAATAGCAAGGTTTTTGCTCAGCAACAATCTCCTTCCAGAAGCCTTTTGTTTCAGATCCTATCCAGATCCTCTTTAGTTTTGGGAGGGTGATATCCCTTTCAATACGGATTCTAGCTATAGCAGGTCTTGCTTTATTATAAGCGGGGGTATCCACCTTCAGATGCATACCTAATGCCCTACCAATGTTAAATAGAGCAGTTAGTTTGAAAAAGGGGTGGGGAAGGCCTGACAACTTGTACCATAGAGGTACCAAAGGAGGTTCCTTACTTGGATCAAAGTATGAAGTCCATTTTTGAATTTTCATAGTGGTGCCTGCAATCAATATGGATTGGTTGGCAAAAATCCTGACATAATCTTCTTCCATAGAGAGTTGGATTAGTAGATGTCTTCCATCAAGTAACCTAATCCTCCAGGCCCCAATAAACTCGAGGGAATCAATGAAATTTCTAACAAGTTGCATTTTGGGGGTTCCAACTAGAATTTGTCTACTAGTGCGAACTTTACTTCTTCTTGGAGGGAGGAAATTTCCAGGTTAGAAAAATAAATGGCAGGTTCACCATCTTTTGAGTTAAGTGGATGAAGACAAGGGCAAGAACCCTTGACAGCTGCTGTATCATGGAAGGCTTGGCGGAACACTAGTTTATCAAGGTCTTGTAAAGTGTCAGTGGCTTTAACCAGTACACCTGCCTAAGTAGCCTTAGTCCACTGAGCATCATTGAACACATCTATTGGTGTAGCCATAAGAGAAAAGGCTAGCAAAAAAACCAAAGTTGGAGAAATAAACACTAAAGAGGTGACCAGGCACCACCACTTTAATAACCAGAAATCAGCAGAAGACCACAACTTCAATGGAATAGTAACACATTCAAAAAAAATCCAAGCCCGGGAAAGCTAAAGAGGTAGAGACCATCTATGCCTTACCCTAGCAAACACCAAACTTGGAAAGAAAAACCACCAAAGAAGTGGCTAGGCAAGAAGATCACCTCTTTAGTAACCAGAAAAATAGCAGGAAACCTCAGTTTCAATAGAACGGCAACACATTCAAAACTCCAAGCCTGGGAAAGTTCAAGCAAGGAAAGTAGCCACCAAAGGGCTGACCGAGCAAAGAAGAGAACCCAGTAGATCTCTACTTTAGCTCCACACTCCAACCATCTCTAGCAGCTCCTCATCCCGCCAGAAACCCTAGTAGAGCTCCTTCTCCAGCCGCCACCATCGTGTATATATATATATATCACTTCTTAAACTCTATTTCTTGGGTTTGATTCACAGACATACGTGGATTCAACATCAAAAAAGATAAGTGAGCATGGATCATGCCATAGATAAGATGAGGAATATCACACAAAGAAGAAAAGCTCAATAGAGACACTACTAACTTGAAGTGCATTGATGAGTTTGTGCAACAATAAATCCAAGAGTTGAAGAACGATATGATGGATGCCCCAAATGGGAATTGGCTCGAGGATAGGAGAATAAATTTTGAGTGGAAGGTCCGACACGTAGTAGACGAAGGGTATACTTATAGTTATGCATGAACAAAAATTTGAGGTTATTATTGTACACAAAAACATATATATATATATATATA